AAGAGCGGGAAAAAAAATTTAAGATCGGAAAAGAGCAAGGGAGAGATATATTTTTAAGTGAATATTATGATGGACTATTAAGTATTAAACCATTATTTATATTGTATTATGTAATTTTATATATATTTTTGGGAGAATGTAGTAAATAATAGATTTTTAAAACTAAATTAAGTAAATAGTATATTTTAAGACCTTTTAAAATAAATAGCAGTTTATGTCATTAAAAAACAATTTACGTGGTAAATGAATCATTTATCGTGTACATTATGGTTCATTTACAGCTAATAAAAATATTTTTAACATAAATTTTCTTTTTATGATTGGTATAAGATTTTTTCCACGTAAATTAAGATTTTTTTATGATTTTTTACTACATAAGTTATTTTTTACCATTCGTATTAAAGAATTTACACAGTAAATGATTTATTTACCAATTAAATTGTTATTTGCTTTAAATAGTTCTAAAATCTATTATTTACTTAATTTAGTTTCAAAAATTTTGCTATTTACTACCATTTCTCTTTTTTTCTCATTTGAAAATTTGTATGGTGGAGAAGGCTATTATGTTTCATTAGTAGGAATGTGTTTTTACTGTTTAGATTTATTTTCTAACAATCTCTCTACTACTTGAGCAGTTTTGTGTAGCCCGGACGGACTGTAAATTTTTAATCGTTAAAAAACTAATTTAATGGTGAAAAACAACAATTCTTATCAATAAAATAAAATAACCTTCTCCTCTATAAAAATTCTTTTTTCATTTTGATATGATTTTAACATGTTTCTAAACATGAACTATACTCTTTATAATGGGTCTACTCTAACACTCGTCCATATGCATATTTGTAAATATTAGATCAAATCAAAATTCTAGCAAACAAAACAAAAAATACACAAAAGTTGACATCTGATGTAGATTAAACAGATTAAAAAGAAGAGAATTTTTCGATAATTTAAATTTTTTATTATTACATACGATGAAAATCACATTAATTTAACAGTTAAAAAAATAAAAAATTACTGATAATATATTTTTACATGAATTATTAGAGAAAATCTCTAAAAAGAAAACTTTATACCTGCACCATAATTTTCTCTTAAAAGAAAACTTTATACTTGCACCATAAAATTTTCATTAGAAAAACAAATATAAACATGAGGAGAGGAGGAGGAGCATCTGGGTCGTCGTTGGGGCGTGGGACCCATCAGCAGCTTTGGGTTGGCGTTCTCAAAAGTATAAACGATAAAACTACCCACTCCCATCATTTTGTATTCTCTCTCTCTCCTCTTCCTCTTTCCCCTTCCTTCCACCCTGGCATCCTCGTCCGTACTCTGTCCCTTCTCTCTCTCTCTACATCGATTCCTCCGTACCGGCTACCTCCTCAACCGGTCACCACACGTGTGCTGTCCCGATAGCCTATAGTAGGATTAGGAGTAGTCCCAACTCCTGACCCTCCGCACGTGCCACCTCCCCATACTATTCCTCTCCTCTTCCCTTTCTGTGGTGTGGTGCAACAAATAAAAGTTAGAGAGAGAAAAACTCAATGAGAAAGAAAACCCAACAACAAAGGTTAGAAATAGTGAGTGAGAGATAGAGATAGAGAGATAAAGAGAGAGAAAAAATAATCAAATATAGTTCTGTTCTTGGTCTTTTGGTTCCATGTATTGAAATTCATGATATGGGTTTTGCTTGTTTTCCTTTCTTCTCTCTTTAGTATGTGTGTTTGAGTTGAAAAATCGTTAAAGAGAGAGAGAGAAAAATCTTCAGATCATTTGTTCTTCTTCTGGGTCTCTCTCTATATCTCTCTCTTTCTAAAAGTCTAAACCCCGAAAAGAAAAAAATTCTCATAATCTCAAAACCAAGATGAGGATCCGAAAACGACAGGTGCCGTTTCCACTGTCTTCCCTCTCGCCGGTGCCCATCTCAGATCCCCTCCTCAGCCTCAACCGGCCACCACCGGTTCCGGTTCCGGTGGTGGTGCAACTCCACCCCACGGTCGCCCCTCGAAACGACGCCGTAAACCCAAATGAAAATCCTCCTCAGCCGTCTGATCATCTTGCTGATCATCATCCCCAGCCGATCGGGAAAGGAAGCGCCATGATCAACGGCTGGGAAGAGGAGAAGATGAAGAAGGAGAAAAAGGAAGAAGAAGATCGTTTGGTTAGTGGAAAATAAGCTTTTACTTTCTTTTCTTTTACCGTGTTTTTTTGGTTAATACAAGAGTGCACTTATGTTGAATGTGACCTAAAAAGAGCAAGTGTATTGATTTTGGTTTTAATTATTCTTGATTTATTGCACCCATATGGAGGTCACAAAGAGGAACAAAAGTATGTGCATATATATGTATTATAAATACACATATAATATATATATATATATGTATGGATCGTGTGTATATTTTTAGTGTATTGGGTTTTATTGTTCTTTTTCAGGAGTTGTTGCAAGAGGAAGATAAGAAAGAGGAAGATGGAGAGAAGGGTAATCATATCAGGTAAGAATTAAGGAAAAAGAGAAAAATTAATTTTAATTATAATTACAATTTAAATAGGGAAAAAAAAAAGAGAAAAGTAATTGTGTATATGTTCTTCTCATCTTTCGCGAATGTTTTTCTTGTAGTAAAAAAAAGTAAAAAGAAGGGAGACCCATAACTTGATATATGTATAATTTTAACCCGCACACTAGAAACATTTTTTTTTAATAAAAAAAAGGAGAAATACCAAGAGCAAGTGGAAATACTGTTTTAGGTGTTTTTATATCCAGCTATTCAGCTTTGGCTAGCCACCACCATACCTTCCATCTAATCTAATCTAGTTTTGCTCTTTCTTTTCTTTTTTCTTTTTTCTTTTTTATTTTTTTCGGTCCCTCTCTCACTAATAAAACCTATGCGGTGCACGTTAGCATGGAACACTGGTCCCCAGCTACAATACTACTATTTCTCTCCTTACCGATCTCACTGCATATATTTTTCTCATGATCATTTTGTTTTCACTTGGACTGTAAAAATTTCTTCAATATATATATTTTTGTCGAATATCATATGGGTGCAATTTAATTTGTTGATTTAGCAAGGAAAACATCTTGGGTGCAAAAACCGTTTCTGGGTTTCTTCTGGAATCAAGTACCAATTCCTCTCAAGGTAATTATATATATGAAGGATAAAAAACGATAAAATATTTTTAGACCATAATTACACATACAATATAATATCATTCGTTTTTGGTTGCCATGGTAGTGTTGGGAAGATGGAGCGAAGGAGAGAGAGCGTTTCCGCCGAAGAAGAGAAGAGGGATGGGCTTCGAAAGACCGGATATTATCCATCTCAACAGCTCGAAAGCGGTCAACAAAACAAAGACCAATTCGAGCAACAAGAAATCATGGTGTAGCACTAGCACTTCTCGGAAAAACGACGACGACGAGGACAACGACGTCGATCTCGATCATGATCAAGAGAAAAAAGAACATAGTACTACTACTAGTACTAATAAGGAAACAAAAATGGTCAGCAACAAGAATAAGTCGAGAGGCGGTGCACTAATGGAAGGTTCGAGGTGCAGCCGTGTGAACGGCAGAGGGTGGCGGTGTTGCCAGCAGACCCTCGTCGGGTACTCCCTTTGCGAGCATCATTTAGGGAAGGGGCGGCTGCGGAGCATGACGAGCGTCCGCAGCCGGTCCCTGGCTGCTAAATCAAGTGCTCCTCCGCCACCGCCGCAGGCGCTGCCGAAGCGGGATGATGTTAATCTTGACGACAAAGCTGTTATAAACAAGGTGGGAGATGCTGATGATCAAGGTGTGGCAGAAAACGAAGACTTCAAAGGAAATGATCGCAATGGAGAGGAGATAAAAAATAATAACAAGAAAAGGATGAAGCTTGGGATGGTTAAAGCCCGGTCGATCAGTAGCTTGTTGGGACAAATCAACGGTGCAATTCCAATGGCGGATTTTAGCAAATGATGAGAAGATCAATGGAGGATAACTTTGAACGTGAATGTAAACACTGGTGCAACTTCTCTATATCGAGTCTACATGTGTGTGTGTGTGTGTGTGTGTTGCGTATGATACTTTGATAAGTATGATTATATGCGTTTGATAAAATGACGTGTTTACCGTCATTTTCTTGCTTAATTTGTTTTGTTTAGGTCGATTATTTCCTGTGTTTGTAGTAGTGCTTTTGTTTAATTGTGAGTGGTGTGAATGGGTTTAATTATTAAACTAATGCAGTTTTTTTTGTTTTAATTTTTTGTTTGTTTTAGTACTTGTTAAACACATATGCTTTAGCAACTATGATTGTTTAGTATAATTATAATATAAAGTAAGGGAACTAAGTAGACCCCTAATACGGATTGCTACTACTGTATATCTTTTGACCAACGTTGTTTTTATATATATTCTGTCAGGAACTCAGTTATGATATGGCAGGCGCTTATCATTATTTTGTTTAAGGATTATGTAATATATAGGGTATAAAAAAAAATAATGAAACTATGGATTACATAATTATTATATCAAGTTAATTAGAAAAGTATAAAACTTTAACTGAATTTGATGAAAATTTGATAATTCATAAGTATTTGTATTAGTATTTTTTTTTTTCTTATTCTGAGAATTCTCCTTTGTATCTCGTATATGTGGGAAAAAAAATGGTTAGTACTTCTTTTGCAAAAAAAAAAAAAAAACTTCTATCTATTTCGTTTGTTTCTGCCCTGGGGGAAATTTGAAACATGGTTTATTCTGAAATGAAAATATTTTGATGTCTCATATTATAAGTTCATAGAAGGTGAAGAGTTGTTTTTGGAAGGATAGAAAAGTTGTAGGAGGGGTATAGTTCTAAAGAAATAAACCGCTAATTTCAGACATTTTAGCTTAACATTTATGTTACACCCAATTTTCATTTTAATTTCAGATTTTAAGTAATAACTTTATTTGTAATTGCCGTTGAAAAAAAAACCAAAAAAACAAAAACAAAAACAAAAGAAGATATCCCATTGTCATCTCTTTGGCCATTCTAAAGGATTTTGATATGTCCAACGAATTCATTTCTTTTCTGAAAAAAAAAAAAAATAGAAAGATAAGAAACTAACAAATATAATGCTCCATCCAATGGTAAGCAGGCTGGCTCACTACACATTTAATGTGGCAACAAAAGGCTACAAAAAAATTATTTTTCTTTTTGGAAGTTCTTTTTAAAAAAAAAAAAAAAAAAGTTGCAATGTGGGATTTACAGGGTGTGGTAGTGGGGGCGGTCTTCTTAGCCTGATTAACGATTGAGAGTGAAGGGTGACTATATGTGTTATATGTACATATTACTTATATAAAATGGACGATATATAGCCTAATTTGTTCTGAAAAATGAAAAATATATATTTTTAATTAAATGGAAGCAAGAAAATAAAATATATACCTATGATGTACTTCTCTTTCTATCATTTTCTAGACATGGATATGACAAACTCTTTAATGTTCAATCGTTTCACATATAAGAGAAAAGATGGTCTTTATGCAACTAAATTGTGTGTTTCCTTATGTTAAAGAAAACAAAACTAAATTTTGGGTTTTTAATTTTATATTTTCTGTTTTCACATCCAAAGGGAGCTAATTACTTTCCTTAAACTCTTTGTTATTATACTGGAGACGAGATTCTTTTCCAAGGTTTTATTTTTTTTTAGAACAAGTACCACATATGGTTTGTGCCTATTGCCTACTATGCCAATAACAGCCATCTCAAAAAATACCTGAAATAGGGTAAAGATTTAGAAAATCGCCGGTTTGATACCACATTTTTTTAAAAAAAAAAAAAAAAAAAAAAAAAAAAAAAAAAAATTCCCAGAGGTGAAAGGGAAAAGAAGGAAGAAAAACAAAAAAAGAAAGACTAATTAAGGACCACGTAGAGTATATACAAACAATGCAAATGTACGACGAATAAACTATCAAGTTAAGATCACCTTCCGGCTAGATATGTTATTAGCCAGCAAAGTTCCATTTGTAATTAACATTACTGAATTTGCCTGGTAGTTTGTAACTTTTTCTGGCTTATTCTACTGTTATCTAGCTAGCGAGGTTATTATTTTGTGAATTAATTTATATGCTTAATTTAATTTATAGTACCTCAAACACAGTTAGCACGTACTCCCCTATAGCTTGTATTCCCTTAATCCTTCGTGAATGTGTGCTCGATAGTGATCAAAGTAGATTTTTATAGACTAAATATTTTATGGAGCCAATAATATATAGGTCCTACTTAAAAGAATTATAGTTTACTATTTTTAAATAGGTCCTACTCAAAGGACTAGTTTATTGTCTATAAACTTTTTTATTTTTTGCTAGTACTAGAAACTTTCTTTATTCCCTACGTACACACACATGTATTAGAGCTACTATATATATATATATATATATATATATATATATATATATATATATATATATATATCTTCTTCCCGATATACATAACTAATGTTCTTAATTTCTAGCTATCAAAAAATAAAATAAAATAATGTTGATGATACAAGCACCTTAGCGGCCGTTTAGTAGATATACCATTACAAGAACTTGTCATCTAACACCTAGCAAGTATCACAACAACTAGTTCAATTAGAATTGTAAGTTGTCAAATAGGTTTTTTTAGGAGGCGAAAATGGTGGTGGAGGTGTTGAATGGGATGTTCTATAAATGGGAAGTGGAGTTTGTCAAGGATCGTGTGGATCTTGTTACTAGTGGTTTTCAATCTTATTCTTTTAATTGGGTAAGGATGGTCAATAATTTCTTTTGCTCATAACTTGAGTCGATAGGCTTTTATATCTCTCGTCTGTTTGTCGAGAAATGTTTTTTGTACACCTTTTGATTTATTTTCTTATACCCCCCAAACCAATAAAAAAAACGAAAAAAAACAAAAAAACAAAAAAACAAAGAATTGTAGTTGGATAAAACGTATGGTATGCCCTCCAAAAAGGGGAAAAACGACAAATAATGGAACATGTATTTAGTAGTTTTTTCATGTCTTTTTACGCTATAACATGTGGTATGATCATCAATTGCAAAATCAACAGTTTCATAGAGACCCAAATTAAGGTAATTAATAAGAAAAACGAATGCTTTATTGCTTTATATTTAAGCATTTTTCCCAAGTGAGCATTGATGCTATGTAAATTATTTACCAAAATTGATCCTATGTAATTAAATTATTCCACTTTTCTTTGGAATAATATTCGGTGGAGATCCATGTCAAAGAGCCAATACGTGAATTCCTTACATATCGAAAAAGAAAGGAAAACAAAGCAACAACATCCAATTTAGCCAACAAAGCATTTAGTTTGCCATTATTTTTAAGTAGTTTAAAACAAGACTAATTGTTCACCGAAATTTACTTGACTTAAGCTCCATTTAGGTTGGTTATCATAGTAATCAACTTAAAGTTAATGTTAAGATTGTTTCGAGCCTAATGTTTGTTATGGGAGAGAATAATTATAGCAAAGAATGTTTTTAAAGCATTCATGAAATATAAAGCTTTTTGGCAACAAGTGTCATATGCTTATTTGGCTCTTATAATTTGCGAAATTTGCAAGTCAAGTTTTCTTAATCTAACTTCCTTCTACACAATATGATATCTTTTCATTCTTTTCCCTTTCAGTTTTCCTTTTTTTTCCTCACAATCTGATACGTGGGCATCGTATAGAAACCATTGTTTGGCTTGCTTATTAACAATAGTATATATGAGCAATCCTATTTGTCTCCATAAATCTTAACATCACGATTTCTGTCACTCTTTTTTTCACACTATGTATTTATCATGTAACATGTAGATTCTACTATCTCATTTTCTATGTTAGTAAAGTCTACGTATCATACAGTAAATATAAAGAGTGATAAAGAGAATAATAAAAAAGTAATATTAACATTTTTCATAAATTAAAATTCTGATACTCATATAAAATGGGTCTTACTAAATAGATAGGTGTGACCTACCTTTATGCGGGTAATTGGATACCATTTTTAATTATATATATTTGTTTGTGTACAAACCTTAACCTAAAAGAGAGAAAAAGTAGTAAGACGTGAGATGTTTTCACAAGCTCCAAAAAGAACCAGTCAACATCAATAGTTTAAGAGGTCCCAACCTGTAGGAAAAGTCTAACTAGGCTAGCTAGCAACTACTAGCAGTATATATGTACCACTTAAAACAAGATTAATTAAAGCAGTAATTGTTTGGACATCCACTTCTAAACAACTTTATTCAGAAGAAAACCTCTATGCAACTTTATTCAAGAAGTTAAGGAATAATCTTTCCACGAGAATTTTTCGATAGGGTACGAAAAGATATTGATACATCATATATATTGATGGGTTTTTTAATCATATTTTTTATTAAATTCCATTACTTTTCTGTATTTTTTTATTTATAATATAGTTTTGATTTAATCTAAAGGTTCAAAATAAGTTATAGTTCTACTATAGGATTCTCCTAATCATTAATGCACATATATATATATATATATATTATTGTTTCTTAGTGGGTCCTATTAGTAGTACATTGTTGAAATTATAATTTGTTTACATTGTTGAAATTGTAATTTGTTTACATACGTCGACATTTCAGTAGTACTATTTCTACCTATATTTCATGTTAGACAACAGTAATCATAATACTAAATTAATTATTGATGCCGAAAACAAAGATTCTTAAAATATTTTTCAAAGAAAATTATATATCGTTGCAAAATAAACCTCAAAACATGATTCTTTTTCATTAGCGGAATGGAGCTCCATGATAAAAACATGGTTTGATTTGATTGCTTTCTAACATTATTGTATTGTTTTTAAGTCCAAAAGTCATGCCTCACTACTACTGAAAAATTTATGGAGATTTTTTCTTTTATTTTTTTTCTTTCCCTCAGATATCTTAATTAAATGATCACCTAAAGTGCGAAAAAAAGATTCTAGGTGAAAGGATAAAATTCTATGTGATAATTGAGGTTGCACCAACGCTTAGCTAGCTCCCTATTGGCCCACTAAAATAATTCCCATATCTTCAGTGCTTTTCAATTATATATATATATATATATATATCCAACGCGTGTGTGTATAACAAGGTTTCTCCTTTTTATTTTTGTTTTCTTCTCCTTATTCTTTTCCTCTCCTTTCCCTTCAAAAACACTGATCAATTGGTATTCATGCTTCAGGAAGTTTAAAACTCAGT